CACACACACACACACACACACACACACACACACACACACACACACGGCACCCAGCATTCTCCGTGCTGGCTGTTTATAAGAGGACACAAGCCAAGGGGAAAAGTTGCAGTTGAACAACATGGAAGAACACTCTAGAACTGAAGGCACACCTGAATTCGACCCCAGATCCAGGGTGTGTATGTATGTGCTCCTAACAATGACTGCCATGTCTTTGAGCTTCCTGCAAGGGACCAAGGTGAAACAGGCACCCATGGAAAATTCTAGAAGCTGAGGGCTGCATTCTCATGATTTGATGTGACTCTCCTCACACCTGTATGTGGGCCCCCGAGAAACGCCCTGGGGTAGGTACTAGCTTCTGAAAAGTTACCAAAGTGCCGGCGTGCCAAACCGAGTCTCAGGTACCCCGGCTAGGATGAGGCCTGGGCACGGGACCCGGCTGGCGTCTCTGCGGAGCCGGGGCGCAGAGCTAGAATTGGGACTGTGGTGTGCTAAATTTAGAGTGTCATTTAGGCTGCTGACTAGGCCGGCCTGGGACAGCCCCGCCCCAAGGCCCAGATGCGTCCCTCACCTGCGCAGGAAAGCAGGCCGGGTCACCTGTCTGCGCTGGCATGGGCGGAAGCCCTTGGAGGCCACCCAGGCTCTGAGGACATCTGGGGGACAGCGGGGGATGGGACGGGGACAGCACAGGCAGAGCCTCCCAGGGTGGCCATGCCTGCCCCCGCCATGCTCAGTCACCGAGTCCTGGAGCCACAGGTCCCCGTGAGAGCTGTCACCAGCAGGCCGTGTGGCAGGACACCCCCCGGGTCCCCCGCCCTGTCTGGGAGGACACCACCCACGCCCCAGACCCTGGCAGCACCAAGCAAGAACCCTGCAGGAGCCAGGGGGAGGGAGGCAGTGGGGAGGACACCCCCGCATGGGGTTCAGGAGAACGAGGGAGGGAGGCCAGACACGGGCCCGGCTCCCAGGGGAGCCTCGGTGGTGGTCATGGGCTCTGCCCCAGCGGCCAGCACAGGGCTCTGCGGGCCTCTCCCTGTCGCCCTCCTGGCCAGGGGCAGAGATGGCGCGTGGGGTCATCTAAACCCCCAGATCCCAGCAGCGGGGCACAGGCGGGCCTCGACACCCCAAAACGCCACTGAGGAAGGGGAACTGGAAGACTGTTCCTCACCCTCCTCCACTGCCCACCCAGATCTCATACACTGCTCACACACCTGCTCTACCACCCACGCACCAAGTGTCTGTTCACACTCCCATCCTCACGTCTGTCATTCTTCCGCTCCTCCACCCATTCACTTGCATACCTCTGTATCCAACCATCCAGCCAACCATTCCCTACCATCTACTAACCAGCCATCACCCATCCTTCCATCCACCCATCCATGCACCCATCCACCCATTCATCCATCATCCATTCACCATCCATCCATTCTTCCATCTACCCATCCATCCATCATCCATCCTTCCATCCACCCAACCATCATCCATCCATCATCCATCCTTCCATTCACCAATCCATCTATCATCCATCCATCATCCATCCATCCATTCTTTCATCTACCCATCCATCTGCCCATTCATCCATCATCCATCCTTCTATGCATCCATCCATCTACCCATCCATCCATCCATCATCCATCCTTCCATATACCCAACCATCCACCCATCCATCATCCATTCTTCCATCTACCCATCCATCCACCTACCCATCCATCCTTCCATTCACCAATCCATCCATCATCCATCCATTCTTCCATCTACCCATCCATCCACCCACCCACCCACCTATCCATCTATCATCCATCCTTCCATTCACCGATCCATCCATCATCCATCCATTCACCCACCATCCACTCACCTAAACATCATCCAGCTACCCATCCATCCACGCATGGATGAAGCAGACAGACGTGATACCATCTATCAACTACCCATCCACTTATCCATTCATGAATCCATCCATCCATCACCCATCTATCACCTATCCATTAGCTCACCATCCAGTCGCCTATATATCCATCCAACCATCTATCCTCACATTTATCCATTCCTCCATCCATCATCTATCCATCATCCATCCATCCATCCATCCATCTGTCTGTCCATCGTCCGTCCGTCTGTCCATGCATCCATCCTGCACCCAGCCTTCTTTCATTCATCCTTCCATCCGTTCCTCCACCCCCTGGATGAGCACCACCTCTTGGAATATCTACCCTCACTTCAGGAGGGGTGGCCAGGAGCGTCCATGGGAGGAAGTCTCTTGGAATCTACTCTGCACAGATGCTGTGCCCTGGTGCAACTGGACAGTGAGTGACCAAGTGCCCGGGTCGCGGGGCCAGCGCTGGAGCATGCGGCTGCACGGAGAAGCCAGCTGCCCCCTGCCTGGGCTTGGAGCTCGGCTGCTGCCATCTGAGAGCCCAGGAGCCCTGACAGCACATGCGGGTGGCTTCAGAGCAGCGCTAGGCTTCGGCACCCCTGCCCACGAGGCATCTTATTCACTCTTAATTTGAACCTCTCGGAGGCTACAGGCGGCAGAGGGGGTGGGGTGCTGGGAACACTGCTCTTACCCTCGTGTCACAGTCGACCCTCCTCCTGTCCCCGGTCCCCGCTCTGTCCTTCTAGAACCAGGGAATGTGCTAGAACCAGAGGAACACCTCCTGTGTGAACTAGGCCCTCTCCCAGTCACATCCCCCCACCCCAGGAGGCCAGGCTGCCCCGCCCCCAGCCCCCTACCCGGCCTGCACGAGGAGCCTGGGTCTGAAGCTCCCGGCTCACACTGTCCGGGTTTTCCTCATTCTCTGCCGGGAACAACCAGATGGAATCCCAACCAACTTGTGTTAGTCAGAGGGCCGGTGGCAGGATCTCAGCGCCAGCGCACCACCGGCACGCTGGCTTCCACTTCGTGGCGACTTGCTGAGTGAGCTGGGCCACTTCCCGCCACCCCGGGGGAGCGAGGATCTGCCCACAGGAGCCTCTCCCATTCATCCTCCTTGGTGACTCGCAGACTCACTCATTCAGGCCGCCTGCTCCTCAGGGAGCCCCTTCGCCAGGCCTGGACACAGCCTGGGGAGTCTCCCCTGTGCCCCCTGCCAGTGTCTCTGCCACACACTGTGACAGGCCGGCTCTAGGCCTCACCCCTGCTCTGCCAGCAGGCCCAGCCCCTCCCCGTTTCTGGGTCAGGACAAGGCACCGGGGAGGGAGCAGAGCCACCTTGTCGGGAACTAGGTCCTGAGTCCCTGAGGAAGCAGAGGGAGGGCACGGGAGGGGGTGGCGGAGGGGGAGGGGGATCCCAAGCCGCTTTGCTGCCCGCACCTGAAGGGTGTGCGGGGTGACGGGGCTCCGGTGGCCACCGGCACCGGCCTGTGCTGGCCCTGGCCTGCCCAGCTGGTTCCACCGGGCCGCAGGGGTGCGGCACAGGGAGGCCAGGGAGGACGGAGGACTAGATGGAGCCGTGTCTGGGGCCCGTCCCAGTTGCAGGGCAAGGAGGCAGCACTAGGGGGCGCTGCCTCCAGCAAGGGGGGGCACCCAGCCTGGCCCCACACCTGCAGGAGGAGGGAGGCTGCTGCGGGCACTGTGTGGCCCTCACCTCCTCTGGACCAGCGTCGGGAGGACGGGGGGTGGGGGTGGGAGGGAGGGGGAGGGGGATGGACGACCACCAGGGGCAAATGGGGGAGACCACAGGTAGAGACAAGGTGGCTGTGGGTGTCTCCCCTCCCTGCCACAGGCTCTGGGCTGGTGGGGCTAGCAAGAGCCTGAGAGGGGTCCGGAGGGTTCTCCATGTTCCCAGTGAGCCCTCTCCTTCCAGCAGCAGGGCCGGCCGGCCTGCAGGCCCAGGCCCAGGCCCAGCCCCTGCCCCAGCCCCAGCCCCTGCCCC